GTGTGTGGAGGGGTGTATGTTTGTGTGTGTGTGTGTAGAGGGGTGTAAGTTTTATGTGTATGTGTGTGGAGGGGTGTATGTTTGTATGTGTGTGTGTGGTTATGTGTGTTTGTGGGTCTATGTGTGTGTGTCTGTGTATCTGTGTATGTATGACATCTTGTGCGCTCATATGACTACCAGTAATTATGTAGGTGCAAGCACTTATATATATAATATTACAGGATCTTATACAGTTGCGAGTGCCATAAAACTCTTACCAAATGACCTGTATGTGTTGCAAGTGCTGTAAAATTGTTACTTAACCCTATCCGTACGTCGTGTTTTACTGTCATATCCATACGGCGTGGGGAACTCTGTGCCACCACTTTCCAAAGAGGAAATTTACTCCTTAACCTGATCAGTACGCTTTGCATAGCAGTCTGTCAAAATAAGTTTTTGAGAAATACTGAAAATTTCAAAGAGATCCTCGCACTAGTTGTTGTTGTTATCGATCCAGCTCTTTGCACTAGAAGTGTTCTGAAATGTGAAGAATAAAACATCGGGGGTACCAAATGACCCCCAGGGCGTATGGATAGGGTTAAACTAAATAAAACTGAACGTCTCTCGTTGGACAGGTGACCCTCCTGCGGCTGTTCCAGAGACGTAGCTTCCGCATGCCGCTCATCATCAGCATCATGATGCAGCTGTCTCAGCAGCTCTCAGGAATCTGTGGGGTGAGGATTTATCTTCGTCAACATCTTTTGTTATCGTTGGCATTGTTGTTATCATTATCATCATATATATCGCTACCAGCATCCTTATTTTCTGTCTAATCTTCTGGCGCTCATATGACCTTATGCAGTCGCGCGCTCATATGACCTTATGCAGTCGCGCACTCATATGACCTTATGCAGTCGCAAGCGCCGTAAGATATCAACTTAAACTAAACTAGCCTGCTCAATATTGCCATTTTTGTTATCAGTATCATCTTCACAAGCAATATCAGGGAAGTAAGAGCTGTCAAGTTTAACATATTTGAATAAAAAGAGTACTGAATATTGCAATTTTTCTGATCAATATCACCTTTCATCATCATCATCATTGCCTTTCTCACCCTGCACCAGGATATAGGCCACGGACAAACACCCTCCACTTTTCTCTATCCTGGGCTAGCCTCTTGATGTTATTCCATGTCTTCCCACTTTTCTGTATATTGATTTCTGTGATTCTTCCCGCTGTCCTTCATTGTTCCTGCTGATGCAGAAGCTCCTCTGTCTCCCAAGATCGAAAAATAAAAAGCTGTGTTTGTCCGTGTTTCTGTAACTTACTGTTTTTTACTGGGTTGGGTAGTTGGCCCTCGCAAACTGCCACTTTTCGGGCGACCAGACCTATGCACTTTTTGTCGCCTCTTACGACACGCAGTATCACGGCAGGTGTATTCTTTGCTCCCCCATAGTAAAACTACGGGGCCCCCCACCAGCAGGGGAGAATATCACCTTTACCACCAGTGTAATCCTCTGCAGTGACCTTTTTAAATTTTCTATTGTAGACTTACGGCTTATGCAGTTGCGAGCGCAGTAAAACCTTACTGTGGGTTGTTGGCGGGTGCTCTGGTGTGGTTTGCTTCTTCTTTCCTATGAAACATATATCGTCCTTATCTCCCCGTCTTCTTTTTTATGTTTGTTACTCTCTTGTAACACCTCTAATCTTCTGGCGCTGTTATGACCTTATGCAGTTGCGAGTGCCGTAAAACCTCTACTAAAACTAAAGCCTTACTAAAACAAACAAACAAACGAGACTTACCGTTAAATAGGAGAAACAATCACATTAGTGGAATTTACTTTTCTCAGTTGTTTCCTTCAACTGTGAACGTAACCACTCGGAACAGCAGAACAGTTCCGCTACAAAATGCGACATATACGAGTATACGTTTCTATGGTTTTTCGAAAATTCGAGATAGCTGTTCTTCGCCTATTTGTAGAATATCTTAAGCATTTCTTTGTTTTTTAGAGAAAATATTATCTAAGGCTGAGTTGATATTTGAATTATTATGTTGGATTCTTGTATTTTGAACTGATGAGATCTCGACACATTTTCGACAAAACGTGGCATGTCCACATTACCAAACCAAGCTTTTGACCAAATCAAAGTTTTGTTACCCCCGGGGCGGTGCCACTGACTGAAGTGTTCTAAGGCCATTCCCATTCGTTTTGGTGCACAGTAGAATTGTAAATGGGCTGATCTAACAATATCATGCTCATAAATGTGCCTGATCTACAACAGGGAACTGCTGCTTTTTCTTTCCTAATCCTTACTATTGTCATTTTCCTCTACTCCTTTTGTATGTTTGTCACACTCTTGTGACCTGCTTTTCCGGGGTGCCTTGGTAGTCGAAGCAGACTTTGTGCTGTCGAAGCTAGATAGGTGAGCAGAGTAAACCTGATTCCCTGTAAGGACTACTCTGTTGACATCCACCCCTTGACGCTTATATGACCTTATGCAGTTGCGAGTGGCCGTAAAACCTCTTACTAAACTAAACAAATTTTGTGTTTTGTCTTCAGATCTTTTACTACTCGTCCAAACTGTTCAAGTGGGCGGGGCTGAGCGAGGAGACGGCCACTCATGCCACCAGCGGGGTGGGCGGAGTCATGGTGGTCATGACTGTCATCACCATTCCCTTGATGGACAGGGCCGGGAGGCGGAGCTTGCACCTCATTGGTCTAGGGGGGATGTTTGTCTTCAGCATATTCATCACGGTGTCTCTAGTCTTGCGGGTGAGTTGGATGGGCTAGGTTGCTTTGTTTTTTGTGGCGTCGGTAGTCCGGTGATAAGGCTAATGAACTCATAATTTTTGGTCGGGGGGGAGGGGGGGAAATATGTTTGTCTTCATCACTTTCATCACGATGTCTCTAGTCTTGCGGGTGAGTTGGATGGGCTGTTTTTTTAATTTTTCTAATTTGGTGGTGTTGGTAGTGTGATGGTAAGGCTAATGAACTCGTAATTTTTGGTCGGGTGGTTGGGGGGAGGATGTTCGTCTTCAGTATATTCATCACGGTGTCTCAAGTGCTGAGAGTTAGTTGGATGGACTAGATTGTTTTTTGTTGTTGTTGGAGTGGGTGGTTGGTGGGTGCTCTGTGTAGTTTGCTCCTTTTTTCCTATCAAACATCTGTCGTCCTTATCTCTCCTCCCTTTTTGCGTATGTTACTCTTTTGTAACACATCTATTCTTCGGCACTTGTATCACATTATTGTGTTGCAAGTGCCGTAAAACTCTTACTAAAGCTGTGGCGTTGGTATAATCTTGTGGTTAGGCTACCGGACTCGTGATCGTGATGTTGTGAGTTGATGTTTGTCTTCAGCATATTCATCACGGAGTCTCTTGTCTAGCGAGTGAGTTGGATGGGCTAGGTTGCTTTGTTTTTTGTTTTTTGTGGCGTCGGTAGTCCGGTGATAAGGTTAATGAATTCGTAATTTTTGGTCGGGTGGTTGGGGGGAGGATGTTCGTCTTCAGTATATTCATCACGGTGTCTCAAGTGCTGAGAGTTAGTTGGATGTGCTTTTTTATTTTTTATTTGGTGGCATTGGTAGTGTGATGATTAGGCTACTGGACTGGTAATCTTTGGTCTGGGGGGGGGGGGGGATGTACGTCTTCATTATATTCATCACGGTGTCTCTAGTCTTGCGGGTGAGTTGGATGGACTAGATTGTTTTGTTTTTGTAGCATTGGTATAGTCTTTGTGGTTAGGCTGCCGGACTCGTAATCATGAGGTTGTGAGTTCACGAGTTTGAGACTCACACCCGACGTTGTGTCCTTGGGGAATGGCACTTTACACAAACTTTCTTCACTTGACCCATGTGAGAATGGGTCCCCGACCATAGGCAGCGAAATATTTTTGTCAAAATATTCGTCTTTTAATGCCTATTGAATGACAGCTTGCACTGTATGCTTCCCAATAAGTTGAGATTGTTTCGGAACGCTATCAGGTCTGACAGGGTAATAATGTAGATTGTAAAGTATTAGAGCTTGATGTTGAGCAGGAGTAAATTGTGCTATACAAATGCTAATTATTATGATTATGATTATATTTTATTGTTAGTTAGTAATTGTTCGTTTCATTTTTTTTAGTGCTGCATAGCTTTAACTTTTTGGTGCTGCCAAAATTTTTAAAAGGTGAAAAGTGCTGACTGACTGCTCAGTATAAGACTCTGTTATATATATATGTCACTTTTACAAAGGATGTATATCAGTATCTTTCACAAAGCCGTTGAAATGAAAAGAGAGCTCAAAGCTGGTTGGTGAGTGGTTGGTGGGTGCTCTGGTGTGGTTTGCTCCTTTTTTCCTATCAAACGTCTGTCGTCCTTATCTCCCCTCCTTCTTTTTTGTGTTTGTTACTCTCTTGTAACACATAAATTGGTCTTCAGCACTTATACAACCTTATTGTGTTGCAAGTACCGTAAAACTCTTACTAAAACAAAAAAAGGTTGGTTGCTTTTTTTTGTTGTTGTCAAAATGAAGATTGTTGCTGGAGAAAGAATGTGGAAATTATGAGCACAGAAAGTCAGGAATTTGAGAGCCATAACTCTTTCACTATCGCGAAGCGTGTATCATGGCCCGGTCCAGGTGAGGAAAAAATCCCTCCGGTAGTGAAAGAGTTAATGATCACATAATACACAACACCAGAACTAGTCTTACTTAACGCAATTTTGGTTGGGTGCTGCGTAATCTGATGTTATAATACTGGGTGTGTTTTGGGTTTTGAAAAAGTTGGCAAGTCTGCTTTTTACAATCTTTTAAAAGTCTTGACAATCTTTACAACATTTTTACAATCTTTTAAAAATCTTTACAATCTTTACAACATTTTTACAATCTTTATATTTTTGCAATCTTTCAATCTTTACACCATCTTTTTACAAACTTTCTACCGTCTTTTTATGCCCTAAACAGTTGCAATACTTGTGCAATCTCTTTACCATCTTTTAAAAAAATCTTTTCACAATTTGTTCACAATCTTTTTACAATCTTGGAAAAAAAACCAACACTTTTCTTATTTTCTGCCTCCTCCCCTCTCCCCCCGGCCCTACAGGACAAAGTGGAATGGTTCAACGGGCTCAGTATAGCCGTCTCCCTCATCTATGTGGCTTTCTTTGCCCTAGGTCCAGGTAGGTAGTTGACTGTCTTGTGGTGTGGTTGTCAGTGTGTTTGTTTGTTTTTGTGTAGAATTGGTTTCAGGATTCGAATTTGCACATGACCTTATTGGGTTGCAAGTGCTTTAATTGCTTGCTGAAAAAAAGTCTCTCCCCCTCCTTTTTTTGTATTTGTTGCTCTCTTGTAACACCTCTAATCTTCGGCTCTAATATCACCAGCAAGTGCTGTAAAACTCTATTATAAAAAAACAAGACTCTCTTATAACACCTCTGATCTTCGGCACTTATATTATATGACCGAACTGTATTACAAGTGCTGTAAAACTCTATAAAAAAACAAGACTCTCTTATAACACCTCTAATCTTCGACCGAACTGTGTTACAAGTGCTGTAAAAGGCTTACTAAAAACTAAACCTCAAAGACTCGACCCTGTTTCCCCCAGGCTCCATCCCATGGCTGATCGTGGCGGAGTTGTTCAGCCAGGGAGCTCGACCGGCGGCCATGTCTGTCGCGGTTCTCGTGAACTGGGTGGCGAACTTTATCGTTGGGTACAGCTTTCCTCACATGCAGGTACGGTAACTTAATAAAATTAACTAAAAATAATATTAATAATAATTATAATGATAATAATAATAATGATGATAATAATAATAATAATAATAATAATAATAATAATAATAATAATAGCTTGTCCGTCAATGTCTGACAATGACCATTATCTCCACAGAGGAGAATATTTCTCCAGCGAAATAAAAGAATACTGTGGTGTGTTATAGTTGTGAAGATGATGATGATAATGGTGATGATAAAGGTATTACCTCCACAGAGGAGAATATTTCTCTAGCGAAATAAAAGAATAATGTGGTGTGTTATAGTTGTGAAGATGACGATGATAATGGTGATGATAAAGGTATTAATAGATGATTAGCCCCTTGGCCTGGCTCGCACTGTGTCACTTCCGCCTAGCCTAGTAACCACATGTAACCTTAAGACCCTCTTTGTTAGGCCCAATTTCCCTGGTATTAGTATTTTACTGCGTCCATTTAGTTTTACTCTCAGCTGCTCCTGAAGAAGCCCAAGAGGCGAAATGTTGAGCTGTTTCAATAAAACAGATTTTGAACATTTTGTATTTTTAGATTATTTTGTCTGAAAATCAAGGAATTAAAAAAGACTCTCCCTAATAGTCTGCTTTCCAAACAATGGTAATAGTTGTAAAGATGATGATGATGATGGTGATGTTAATGGTAATAGTTGTGAAGATGATGACGATGATGATAATGCTAATATAGTTGTGAAGATAATGTTGACGATGATGATGATGATGAACGCAATGGTTGTGAAGATAATGATGACAATGGTGATGGTAATGGTGATGATAATGGTAATAGTTGTGAAGATGATGATAATGGTGATGAGACCGATGATAATTGTAATTGTTGTGAAGGTGATGATGATGATGTTGATGATAATAGTGATAGCCATAGGTCGTAGAGATAATAATAATAATTGCATTTATATAGCGCACATTCATGCTCAAGAGATGATGATCAGGACAATACAACGATAGTAATCAACAAGTATTGTTTTTATTCTTGCTTTTATATATAATTTCTGTGTTTTGTTTTATTTTTCCCCACCTCTTTGGTTTACAGAATGGCCGATAGCAATGAAGTTTTGTTTTTATTCTTGCTTTTATATATAATTTCTGTGTTTTTGTTTTATTTTTTCCTACCCCATTGGTTCACAGAATGGCCTGGGAGACTACGCCTTCCTTCCTTTCACGGGCCTCCTCTTGGTGTTCTGGGCCTTCACCTTCTGGTTTGTTCCGGAAACCAAAGGAAAAACGTTTGAAGAGGTCACCGCCCTCTGGCAGGAGGGGGGCCAGAGGGATTCGAACTCGGGCTCCCCGAAGGAACACTCTCATCTGGTGCCGTAGTGTTCAGGAGAAGGAGATCTCAAATTTTTGCTGGCGTCATCACGATCATTTTTTAAAAAGAAAATATATTGTTGACTTTTTGT